CACTCTTATTCCCATAATTGCATGTGAAATAAATAAATAAATAAATAAATAAATAAATAAATACAAGCTAGTTTGGGACTTTTCCCCCCAAACCATCCCTTTCTAGAAGTGTTCTCAGCTTAGGTTTATAGTTGCCAGTTGAAATTCAAAGTCAAAGAAGTTCAGTCATCACTGCTCAGAATCTCCTTTTTCTGCAACTTGTATGAGCAAATCTGACTCTTCCGCATTGCTAGGTTTATAAACATAGAACTTTTGTGAAACTAGAGAAAATCTCTTTTCTCTTGCAGTTGCAGAAAACCTAATTACATTTCCCATAACTAATCCATGTGTGTGCATGTGTTTATTTTTGTGAAAAGACTCTCAAGAAGGCTAATTTTATTGTTTGAAATTTGCCAAATGTGTTCTACATGATAAACATAGTATTGTTGATTAGTATAGTACTAATGCTATATAGGGACTGCAGGTGGCGCAGTGGTTTAAACCACTGTGCTGCTGGGCTGGTTGATCAAAAGGTCGCCGGTTTGAATCTGCACAATGGGGTGGGCAGGTAACAGTGTTCCGTGCACTTCGGTGTTTAGTCATGCCGGCCACATGACCACAGAGTCTGTCTGTGGAAAAACGCTGGCTCCCTTGCCTAGGAAATGGAGATGAGCACCGCCCCCTGGAGTCAGGCATGACTGGACATAACGTCAAGGGGAAACTTTTACCTTTACCTTTTTAATGCTATATAGCATGCAAAAACAAAAACTCACTATGCTTTTATGACTTTTATAAATATATATTTCCTTGAAAAGGAAATTGTGACAAACTTTACATATTATATAGCATAGTCTATGCATAACATCCATTGTCCTGTTTATTATTTGTAACCCACAATTTCCCCTCATCTTACTGTAAAAGCTTCTGGGGAGGGGGGAGTTTCCTGTGAAAATCAAGAAGAACAACCTTTTCTGGAACAACAGATAGAGTCAGCTGAAACGCATGTGCTGCTGTCTTCCAAAAGACAGAATTTGGCAATGCAAGAGGAAACTCATTTGGGGCTGCCCAGTGAGAGTCGTTAACAAATCCACTAATAAGTTATGGGGATTGTAGGCACATTTACTCTCTCACTTGATTTGAAAAGTAGTTATCATGAGAATCAGGCTATTTTTGTGCTGACTTTGATGTAATACACCTTTTAAACCTACTGGTACTGGGTCTGATCATTTTTACATTGGTGTACTAAATATGTACAAAGGAATACAGGTATTTGGTCTTTTCCATGTTTGATTTATTTGGATGGGGAAATCCCTAATTTTAATGCAACTGAACTCTTTTATGTTTGGATAACATTTTGTTATGCTAGGGGAAAGCACTGACAAAGCAATGAAACTTTTCCTGGCCTAGATTCATCAATGACAGCAAGGAAAAAGCTCAATTTTACAGCAGTCATGGCCTTCTTAGTCATTTACTTGCTCCTATTCCACTAGCACTTCATGACCAAATTCTATGTGATAGCAATACACTCATGTTTGTAACATTTGAAGAGAAAGAATCCCATCTAAAGGAGGCAGTCGAAGGAGGCACTGAACCCCTCTAGGGCATCTACTCCATTTGATTTTCTTCTAAGATTATTTCCTGTATCAGAATCTTGTTGGGATGGAGGAGTGTTTTTTATGGAATAGATAGACCATGGGTAGGGAGGGTTAAGTAGTTAGGAAAGAATTTAACAGACCTTTCCATGCAGCCCCTTTGAGCTTTAAACCATGTCCCCTTCATGCAACTGCTTTCCTATGTAATTGAGGCAGACCTATGTTTTAAACTATATGTTTGTCACCATCATCGGTAGCTTGGCCTTCACAATGCAAAAATGCCATATTGAATAAAAAGCCTTTGCTACCAATTCTTAGAATTCCCTGTATTTAGATAACAGCTTGTGAGCTAGCATGAAATGTAGTGACAGAAGTGAGGCCGTTGCCTTACTTCTGTCAAGCTACATTTTGACTCATCGTCTGTAAGACTTCAGAATCCAAAATTTGTGCAGAAAAAGAACAAATAGACAATAAAGAATGCAGAAAAGTGTTTTGAAGTGCTATAACCTAAACCAAAAAACAAACAAACAAACCCCACTATCTTTAAGAACATAATGTAAAAAAAAAAAAAAAAACCTGATAGGCACTTGACTATTGGTTTACAACAAAACTAAAGTACTAAAGGAAGAGAAAGGAACTGTAAAGAAGCAGGCTCTTTCATTTTTAATATTTAGGAACATATGGACCCTGTACAATCTGTTCTGTCTATGTTTTGTGGATTTTCAGGTGCCTTTGTTCCATCACTTGCTCATTGAAAGAATCAGTTTTATGCAAATGTATTTGTATGCACTTGTACACCTGTAAAGTTGCACAAATATACATATCTGAAAATGGTCAGATCCCCCCCACAAAAAAGTGTGTTTTCACCCTTCAGTCTGTGCAGGAAATGCACATTTCTAGGGGGTTTTAGATGTGTAGGATATTTTTTAAAGTATTCTGGAGTTCTAACCAGGGAAAAATTGGTCTATTACAGAATCCATAAGTCAGTTTCTGAGAAATCCAGATTCATTTGAGACCATTTTGGACTTTTCCAACCTCCCAAATAAGTCAGTTGCATGGGAGAGTGTGTGATTTATTGCTTTTTAAATAATTATGTAGAGTATTTCTTTTTTCCTTGCACCCACATTCAATATTTTATTCAAAAAATAGTGTCTCAGTGATTCTTAAGAGAACTGCTAAGTGAGGTTGGTGCAACCATAATATTGGTTGGGCCAGAACAAATTACTACACTTTGGATTTTAACATGGGATCCATAAAGCCATTTAGCTACCTTCCATTTGAAAACATTTAATCTTTAACATTAGGAATACTGTTTGATAAAACAATCTCCCAATCTCCCAGTGGAGTATATATTCTTTCTCCATAATATTCATAACTTTTGCTAATGCATCTTGTGTAGTATTCTTTTAGCACCAGGAGTATGCTAGTTGCTGTATAGATGAAACATGATCTCTTCTAAGGAAACCTCTCTGAGATTGTTTCAAATGAGAAGCAATATATAGAAAAATAGAAATGTAGAAATGGCCATGTAGTCTAAACCCCAGCTCCAGCGGCTCCTCTCATGACATTCCTACCATGTGTATGTCCAGCCAGTCCTTGAACCCCCTCACCAATGAGACTTCAACCATCTCTCATGGAAGCCCACTCCATACCCTCAGGATCCTAACTGTCAGGAAGTACTTCCTGGCATGCAAATTAAACCTTGGTTCCTTGAGCTTGGCTCTGTTGGAGCGTGTCCTGCCTTCCTCTGCAGGAGAGAACAGGTCTCTACCCACCTCCGTGTGACACCCACTCACATACCTGTATCTTACCAACAGATCCCATCAGAGTCTCCTCCAGACTGAAAAAGACCCAGTTCCCTCAGTCTCACCTCATACGGCTTTCTCGGCAATCCAACCACCATCCTTGTGGCCCTACGCTGCACTGACTCTAACCTGGCTATATCCTTCCTGTAACGTGGAGCCCAAAACTGAACACAATATTCCAGTTGCAGGTGCACTAGAGTCATATAGAGTGGCAGTAATACCTCTCTTGTTCTAGAAGCCACGCTTCAGGCTATGCAACCAAGGGTGGTGTTGGCCCTCTTAACTGCCACATCACACTGCTGACTCATGTTTAGCCTGCAGTCAACCAGCACCCCGACATCCCTTTCACAAGTGCTGCTCTCCAGCCACTTGTCCCCTAACCTGTACTTATGACACCCATTCCTATGCCCCAAGGGCAAGACCTTGCACTTATCCACATTGAATGCCATCCTGTTGTCCCCTGCCCACTTCCATAGTCCATCCAGATCCTTCTGGATCCAGAGTACCAGCTCCTCAGTTGTAGCTGCTTGCCCCCGTTTTAGTATCATCTGCAAATTTGAGCAGCAGATTGGTCACCCCTTCTTCCATATTGTAATTAAAAGATTGTACAGGATCGGTCCCAGGACAGACTCCTGCGGAGACTTCACTTGTCACTGACTGCCACCCTGGCGATTCCCCACTAATAGTTACCCTCTGCTTTCGGTCACTCCATTAGGATTGGACTCTGAATCTTCTGCATGCAGACCATGTGTTTTCCCACTGAGTTATGGGCCCTCCCTCTTATCTTCAATTTGACCTCAGGAGAAAATATGAGAGAGAACTGTAATTTAGTAGAAAAGGTAATTGGTGGATCTAGGAAAAGGAACCAGGAACAGAGCCTTGTGCAACCCTTACATGGGTTAGAAAGGGAAGAGATATCAAAAAGACTAAGCAGAAGTGTGCTGAAAGAAAGAGGAGAGATAAAGAGAACTGAAATCCAAGGGGCAAAGAAGTTGAGCTACCATCTGAATTTACCAATAGGGTCCAAGAGAAGGGCCTTTATATTTGGACCCAAAGGCTGTGCAATAGTTACTGAATATTAGTACTTAGGTTAGTATTAGTACTTAGGCAGGGGTTAAAACAAATAGGTACAGCTACCCAGTAAGGTAGCTTTCCCAGATTGGGCCAGAATTTAACATCTGTTAAATGTGTTGTAAATGTTGATAGTCAGTGTCCGTTACAGAGCTCTGTAAGTATTCCATATTCACATATGGTTGGAAATTACTGGACACAAGGGGATGATGTTGAACTAGCTTCCATTGAAATAAATGATGAAGCTTTGAAACATGCAGAATGACAAGAAATCTTTGGAATGGGCTTTCTTGACTATTCCCTCTTCTCTGCCAAAATAAAAACTCTTTGCGTGTTTTGTGTCTGGTGGGTGGGTCTGCATTGCATTCTTCCCATGAACCCTTCTCTCTCTTTGCTCCAATTGGCCCTTCTCACCCCCAAGCAGGCACTGCTAGATAAGAGTTATGCTAACATGAGGGTGAAAATAGTTTACCACAGGAAGGGCTTTTTCAAATGGGGAGGAAAATGGTTTAAGAATCCTTATTTTTCTTTTTCGGTTGTGACTATTTTTCAGATCCCGATTATAATACCATGCCACAGAGTGATTTGCAGCAGTGGACAGACTGGCAAGTACACAGGAGGAAGTCATCTGAAAGAGTGGCTTTTGTCACATGAGAAGCTTCTGAAGGAAAAGTTAGCATATTGATGCAGTTCAGGCATAGCTGTTATACAGCCAAAATGCATATTTGGCTTATAACAAGCTTTCAGAACACACAGTAGAATTCAGGAAAATGGTAAATATTTGAGTGACATATAAATATAATACAACATTCAAAGCAAAATATGTGGTGGCACTACTATATTAAAAAAGCTGAATGTGTCCTAGGGGATACAGCTTGTATGCCCTTTCTTGTTTTTACATTTTACAGCAGAATGAGTACAGCGGCCTGTTCCTGTTGTGCATGTATTTTGTTCCCATCTCCAGTGCTGTTTTGTTCTATTTTTAATGTCCATTAAAGCAAGGATAAGGGAGTGGGAGGGGCATGGCAAATGTTAGATGCAACTGCCCCTCTAAGGAAGCATCTGGCTCACAGAGGGGACAGCCGGGAATCCGCAGCCTTTGCATGTATTCGGAGAGCAAAATTAAATGCATAAGCTTTAACACACACCTCCCCCTGTTCCTGCCTGGATTTGTATTTGTCCAGATTGAAAAGCTTGTACCTCTGCCAGGCTTGGTGCCCAAGATTCTCCTGTTTTCTTTGATGTTTGAACTGCTGAAATGATGTTTTACGTAAACAGTTGTTAATGAAACACACTGAAAATCCATTCAAAAGGAAACAGCTATTGAATTGCCTATTCACAGCATTTCTTTTCAGATCACTGTAGATGGCTTAGAAGATACGAATAGAAATATTTTGTCTCTATTACCATTGCTCAATGTAGGCAGAAAAATAGATGCTGATAGTTTAATGTCAAACAAATATTTTTATAAAATTATGTATCTGAGTTACAAATACATTTTGTCAGAATTTTAGAAGTCTCGTTCTTTCAATTTTTAAACATTCTGATCAATAGTGCTTATGGAGTTTGATTTTCATTTGCTTTATTTAGTTTTCACATTGACACAGTTGTTATACAATGTTCTGGATTATAAGAAGAAAAGGCAATGTATTATGTTAAATGGATAACACTATCCAGAAGAAATATTGTCAGTGAAAGAATGTTGAAGCTAAAATTTCTGATTATTTAAAAGAACTCACAGAAAGCAAAATATTACAAACTGCTACAAACTGATTTTTTTTCAGTAGAAAAATCATAAATTGAAACATGGAAATACTGTTTTTTTATATTTTTATCCCATTATTGTATATGTTGCTTTATAATGCTCACTGCTTACAAAAATGATTCTTATGTTGTTCCATTAATATATTCTATGTTTTTCTGATATTAGAGTTACTTTATTAAAACTTGTTATGCATGTGCATGAGGTCTGTATAAATAAATAAAATACAGTATCTAATATACCAGGAAAATAAACTATACCCTACCGTATAATATAAGTCTGTATTTTAGCAGGTTTCTGGTGACAATATAAACCATGAAAGCAAGGCTCAAGTGGTTTGTACATGTCAGCAAACACCCAAATAAAATATAGCCTTATAATATGTACAGTTTGAGTGTATTCTGGTTTTTTTCCAATAATATGTGGATAGCAGCCAAAGGATATTGTAGGTGAATATTGCAAGCTTTCACCTTTTTCAAATGTATCTTTTTCAGGTATTTCTTTCTACAGACATTTGCTCATCCCAAAAAGGATTTGTTTATTCTTTTGCCAAGAAAATGCCACTGTTTACTACAACTGCTTTATAGCATATATTTTGATCCACCAGTGTACCTAGGTCCTTGGATAATATAGTTGTTGAGAAAATAATAGTACTAGACTTCAGACCATATTATCTGCTGTATTAAAACCCAGACTACAATTTTGTGTCATAGTTCTTTGCTGTGGGCATTTCAGTCAGTAAACCTGCTTGCTCAAAACTTTTTTGCAAGTCTTTTGCTTTTTTGGATGTACTTCTGGTAATGGGAATCCCAGTGGAATAATTCCCACAGGCTTGCGTGCATTGTGAGTTTAGGATCTAAACACCCAATCATACCTTGACAGATTAATGACTTCTTGGGGTTTCTTGTGCTAAGTTCTTCCTTATGATTTTAAAACTGAGGCAAAGCTTTCATATACCACTCATGCATTCATTTTGAAATTTCCTGATGTAACAATACTATGCTGTGAAAAACAGTTGCATTGTGCAGGCAGTATGTCCTGTCTATAATGTAGTTTTAGTGCATTCTATTACAATTTTGTCCAGCATAACGAAAGCATGAATCAAAAAGCCATTTTTAATTTGTCTTGAAGAAAAACTCAGTTTACACAAAGCAATAGCAAAATAAAGTAAAATAAAATAAAGGGTAAATGGTGGTTGGAGTGATTATTCTTTTGCTGTAAAGGTAGAGATATTGTATTCTGACTAGCTTATTTTCATGACCTGGCATCTCAATGTTTGTTTTTGTGTTGTAGGCCAAGCTGCATGTTCTTTTGTTGATGTGTGTTCCAACAGAGGGCACTGTAACTCAGAAGAATTTAGATGCATGTGTTTTACAATGTGTTTAGGAGATGCTCATTCACTACTTTTTCCCCTGCTGTTTAAGAATGAATTTGAAAATGAACAGCCGAGCTGAAATCTCTGAGCTGCCTTATTTGCAGTGCTTCAGACTGTCTGCCTCAGGAATTAGCTGTCTAGTGGTATTACAGGCCTACAGTCTTCATCCCACATATGTATTGTGAAAGGTGCTATAGTTACATACTAAGATGAAGAATGGCCTTTCTTTGCCAAAGATTGCTAATGATGCCCAAACTACAACTTGGCGTGACCACTAATGAAGAGGGCTGTGATAGTATAACCCCTTGGGAATTCTCATAGAAAGAAATCCACAGTGCTGCTTATGTGTGATCTTAGCATTCTTTCTGTGTGCTGCTAATGCTCACATGATGTCTTAATAAGTGAGTAGTATTCCTAATTTAGCCCGACTGCTCTTCACTGTAACAAAATGCTCAGCACAACAGAACTGAGAATTAGTATCTGGCAAAATGGTATTTCAGAAAACTTCATAGCCTTTGCCATGCAAGAATGTAAACAGAACATATACTGCCTCATATGCCATTTTGTTCCTCTGTGGCACAACAACAAATATGACTAGAAAACCAGAATGTGTTTCTGGCCTGCCCTAGTGTGCTGCCAGTATAAAACCCATTTTCTGTTCTCTGTCTCAGAGGGTTTTCTCTGTCTTGTCATAAGACTTGATATATACCCTGAGGTTTTTGCCGATGAATGCAGCAACATCAGCATGGTTCAGACTGCCCTGGCCTTGTGTGGCTCTAGCTACAACTCCAAAAAGGAAGCTAGTGGGGAAATGCAAATGTGCCTAGACTAGTTCATAGGTCATAACATACTTTATGAAAATACATACAAAAATGTAAGGTTTTTTAAAAATCCAAAATAAATTTTAAAAGCTCTGGAAACAAGAGAGCTATGTTCTTTTTGCTTGGATTAGGGTTCCACTGACCTATCAGGTTTCCTCCCATTCAGCCTTGCAGAGCTTTGAACTGCTGACATTGAGACACTGTGCAGCCAGGCACGACAGCTGGCTCGGCAGCATCTAATACCAACACATGCTGTTTTAGCCCATTTCCAGAGACTAAGATAATGAAAGATTCAAAAATAATATTTGTTTTGGTAGAACTACATTTTATAATGAAATAGATGTCCTTGACCATGGAAGAAACTGAATTTTGCAATGTGTCATTTCCCCACCCCTCTAATCCAATTTGGTATAAAATGTTTATTACATAAAATCTAAACTTACTAAAAATGTTTTGGTCAAGGATCCAGTCATGCTGCTTTAAAATTATAATTTACTCTAACACTGTGAGGCCCATAAAGTACTTCTTGGGTAAGCTTCTATTTCTCTTGCTTGAACTACTTCACAGGTTTGTTTGGAAAATATAACATAGTTCTGATCTAGTAGCAGTACTTGATATTTTGCATGCCAGGACAAGGGTTTGCAGTTCAGAATTGTTATGTGACTCAACATTCATCCAGTCCTTATAATTTCAAAGACTTGTGATTCAGAAACCTGACTAAATCCAGCAAGGTCTGGGTATGCAGGCAGTGCCTGGTTGGAAAAACCTCCTAGAACTCTGAAATTGCCTGGAAAACCTGCCTTGAGCCACATAATGGAAGAAAGGTAGGATATAAATGTAATAAATAAGTGCTTCAAATGTTCAACCAATTACAGTTGTAAGAAATGTATTTGCAGTCAAATGAAATGTTTTCCTTCTCTGTTTCTTCTTTGTTAAATAGTCTAGCATCTCTGCTAGATGTCAGAAAAGAATCTGTCTCATAAAATTTCTGCTTAATTCTTTGGGTTGATTGAAATCAGAGAAGTTACCTGATTTCAGATTCTTTTAAGATTTCTGCTTAATAGTAACCATTTAATCTGCTTGGTTAAGACTAGAGCAGCTCTGTACAGTGAGCAGTATTATCACTATCAATATGATAAAGTTATAGACATACTAGAAACTGAAGAGTATATTCAAACTATCAAATAAATATCATGGGTCATTACTTTTCATAGTTTTTAACACAGTTTGAACAAATGCTAATTTAACAGAATTTTTAGATCATGTTGGAAAGAATACACATTTTTTCATTTTTAATATTTATTCCTGATTTTTACTTTCTTGTAAAGTGAAGTAAATTGTGGGGGATGGGGCGGTCCTTTGCTATAAGAGTAAAATTCATTAAATCAGAATTGCTTAAAAACTACAGTAACATGACAGGAGGCCCTTAAGATTTATGTACTATTTCATGAGTAATTGCACTGTAAAAATCTTATAGGAATGTAAAATTTCTTGGCTTACAATCAGATTTAATTGTAATTCCTGTTATATTCTTATAAAAGTAATAGAATTGTACTTTAAAGGATTTTTCTTGAACCATCTCTCTCTTGTGTGGATTGCTATAGCCCCTTTTTCTGCTTTACTGTAACTGGTTTTAAAACCAGGATAATATTACTAGTCTCTGTTGCTCTTAAAGTGCACCGGATATTCCAGTGGCATTGATGTGCAAATTGATCATAGAACTTAATAGCTTGTCAAAAGGCTGCACTATCTTTGTTCCAAATAGCATACATAGTGTATGAGCAATAAATGAATACGTTTAATACAGCACGTGGGAAAAACATGGTTCCTATACTCTTTGAACAACTTTTTTTTAACTCCAAAAAACCCCCAGAAGGCAGATTGTCTTACTTGCGGTGTCCTGATAGATTTTAAAGTTTCAGCAATCATTCCATTACAGCATTTTCTTTCTTTTCATACACACAAAAACATGCATATGGACAAGCACACATTCTATAGCACAGAGGTATTATTGGATATATTAATATAATTGTTTTCCCTTAGTAAGCTATCATGCATGCTATAATAATATCCCCACAACCACCCCCATTTTATTGGAAGGCTTTTGATTTAGAAGTTGGTATTTAAGAAGCTGAAGTTAACATCAATTTTATACTTTATCAGCATTGGAGACATTAAGGTTTCAAATGAGCTCTGCTCTGAATGCTGATCCAGACCAGCCTCTGGTCTGTGTGAAGTTATGTGTAGGTGGCAGTTAAAAGCTGTAGCCCAAGGTCTGGAGAAACTACAGGTACTGATGTGTCTTTAAGTGACTAAGGGCTGTAGTCCAAAGACTTCTGGACGAACTGGCACCAGCTGCAGACAGATGGAGAATGTCTGGGCTCCATCACCTTCAAGTCTGCCCTGACAAGGATCTATATATTAGGGCTGCAGAGTGGATAAGGAAGCCCGAAATGGTGGCTGTGTGGTAAGGTGAAAATTGACTTGAGCACCATATACTGACAATGCTTTTGATTGATGAAAGGATATTGTTAACAAGCCTTTAAAGTTTCTCATTATTGCTTTCTTTTTTCCTTGAAGCCCCAAAGAACAACACCACATGCAAAGAAATGATTCACACAGCTCTGGAGATGTTACATAGTTTTTGTTATCAATATGTTAACTCTCTTTAACAAGTTTATTCAGTAATTTTATTTAATGTGATGTTTACCCCTTTTAAAGTGTCATCAAACAAAACTGAACAAAAATTGGAGCTAGTTTATACACCAACCCTTTAAGCAAGGCTTTTGCCTTTTGTTTTTAAGGGTGCAGTATGACAGATCATGATGCTGAATTTGCATCTTAAGCATGGGAGTTCCCACAGCTATATTATAGCAGCAGGCAAGATCAGTACCTGCAATATGGCTACATCATATACATGTTGCTTGCCACATCTATTCAGAGAATGGGTAAGAGTGGTGATGGAACTGGGGACTATTCACCTTTGTGGCACCACATCAGAATCAGCTAGACAGAGTGATTACAGATCACATTTGCTTAGTATCATTTGGAGA